TTAATGGGGTAGAAATAGCCTGTAAGACACATTTTGTACAATCACTTAATATCAAGATAAACTCCACTTAGATTTTATTTATTCTTCTAAGGAACTACACATAAACAGACAACATTTTGCCAAACACACACCACGATAACTTTTTTCTCATTAACTCAAAAACATTCTAAACTGCAGAGAGAAAATACTAACAGACCTATGAAAAAACAGTATTATCTATTGTTGCTAAAAATAAGCTGCTGTTTCTGAATCTGCTTTACATTATTATAACCTGAAAACATACAGGAGTATTTTCAGCAGAGAATTTTATCTTGCAAATACATTAATACAGTAAGTAATTTTCCACACCCCCTCTCCCAACCACAACTTTCATCCCCTCTTAGGCTGCACGAAAGGAATAGGTTACTATGACACAGTTAACAATTCATTTTACTCGAGCTAACGATAATTACTCTGCAATCATCACTTATTTACTAACATGTAAACGCTTGTTTTAGTTATGGAATTAATCATAAAACACATAAGGTATTTAATATTATAATTAAGTATAGATTTATTAATGACACATAACACTTGTAACTAATTAATGCACACAGTTAATCATTAAGTATCTTGCTAAGTGCTTATTAGGGTGTCTCTCTCTGTGGACAGCTGAGTTTTCCCTTTGTCATCTGCCTGGTGCCTTTACATTTCAAGAAAGCAAGAAACAGAGAGGAAGGTAAGACCTCTGAGTAAATTATTTTGTGTCATGACTATTTAGCTTTCATTGTTCTACTGCTTCACAATTAGAAAACAACCCAACAGCTCCTGTCCTGCAATGCTTCCCATCTCATAATTTAAAGTCTCAAAAGCAGGAAGTTCTGCCAGACTCAGATAACTCATACTTTGTTTTAGAATATACATGCTTTTTTTTTTTTTTTTTAAAAAAAAAAAAAAAAAAAAAAAAAGGATTTCCATACAAAAGTATTTCTTACTTAATGACTTTGCCTTTTATTAAGGAAATTTCCTCTACATGGGAACAGTGCACTACACCTCAAGCAACCCAAAGTTTCTCATCTACACTTGACATGTATAGAATTTAGGGTGGCTGTGCATCCTGTGCAGATGGGCTGCTGTTTCTTATTAATAGAGTTTTATTATTTATTCATGTTGTGGTAATGTTCAAAGTCTCTGATCTAGATCACGTCATTATAGTACAGGTGATCTAAAGACTGACTTAATTCCTATCCTAAACTACTAACTTACTAAAAAAAAGCAAGTGAATGAGATGCAAAGTAAGATCATCACAAACATCCTATTTATTACCCACTTGTTTTATATCTTCCATAAATTCACTATCGCCTTTACATTTCTTCCTCAGACACTGTAAAAACCTGTTAAAAACTACGCCTATTTTTCCATTTCATTTTTTTTTCTTGTAGATGTGAATATAAAATAAGAAAAATTAAAAATCAAAACACCGTACTGCACCAATTCAGCAAAACCCTTCACCAACTGCTCAGCTTACTTGTTTGCATTGTGCCCATGGAGAGCTGTACAACTCTCCCCCAGCCCCTCTGCAGCTCCAGCTACCTCCTCCTGCTCCAGCAGGAGCGACGGCTCGTGTCACGTCTGCTTTGCTCAGGGTTTGAAACTAGGGAGTTAGGTCACCAGTCACTCCTGGTGCCTTCTGAATAGGCAGTCCTACACACAGAGCATTCTTCTGCCTTGCCCTCATGAGTGATGGCACTAGCCCTACTGCATGCCTTTCTCCCTAACAGCTACTTAGGGGTTATACTTCTTCCCCTTTTTTAAATATGCTTTTTAAGTCTAAACTTTATTGCAATTAATATTTTTAGTATGATTCACAATGTAAGCTTAAAGTCTACCCTCCTAATTGTTAACTCCTTGATCTTTGCCCCTCTCCTGCCTTGTGATCTATTTCTGCAAGTTCCCTCTTTTTGCATATACTAAATAATTGGCCAACATTAATAAAACCGTACAAGTGTTTGGAAAAAGAAACAAAGTTCAAGGATCGGGACAAAAAAACACTGCAAATAATTGGACACATACAGATATTTCCATTGCCTCTGAAACCTGCACATATGATAGGGCTTTGTTTGAAAAGTTCACTCTAATAGTCTTATGAAATTAGCAAGTACCCTAATGAGATAATTTCACTGGTTAGGGGAGGCTTAATTAGCATTTTTAAAATAACATATTGAAATTTAGAACTGATAGATCGCATATCCTTTATCAACTGCAGAAAACCTGATTCTAACCTACTAAGATGATTTTACTCCATGTATGAAATGACTACTTCTGTAAAGAACCCAAATGTTTGAGTGAAACCAGTGACATATTTTATCAGAAAGTCAAATGATATGTAGCTGCTTAGCATGTTTGGGGAGGTAGGTTTTGTTTTTTTTTTTCTTTAATTCCCAGTAATATGGTAAACATACAATAATATTTTAATATTTTGTCATGAAGGTACCTTCCACTACTGCAAATGCTGAAGTAAATCTTAGTGATATTAATGTGTAATTTATATGACAGTAGCTACATGATAGATGTCCAGAGCACATGAGATCAAAACACTGAAGCACTCATGAGCACATGCATGTCATTATCCTAAGAGAAACAGTATGCTCCTTTTCCACTTCTGAAGAAATGACTCAAGTTGCAATCCACCAATATAAAATTTTACTTGAAAATAATCAGGCTGCTTTCTCACTACGAGAGAAACTAGCAATATGACCATCTACCAGGCATTTATTTATTTTTTTAAAACTCATGATGAATAAAGGCTAACAGATTGCTAAAGTGACTGTGTTCACATTGTCCAGAGATGTCTGCTTTGACCAGAGACCCTGGAGATATAAATGCATGCTTATTTCCCCCTTAGAAAACAGGGCATAAATGGATTGCGAACAGTGCTCTGAACTCACTAGTGTAACACGAGCACGTGTACAGCAATAATAGCACTGTAATACAGAGTTAAAACCTCCTAATAGTAACCAGTGAATGTGTGAAGCACGCAAGATAAATATATATATATATATTATTTTTAAAGGAAGACATGCATGTTTGTGGGACTAGTACAACAATCTCTCACTGCAGTATTGTCCCCCACCCTAAGATACCATCAAATGAGTAAATGACACTCATCCAGACTCTTTGCCATGCCCGCACGATTTGGAATCCATGAAACAAGGCAGGACATTAAATGAAACAATTACATGGTTGATGAACAAAGACACTAAGACTGATAAAAATGGCAATCCCAGCAAATAATGATAACTTTGCACATACAGAAAATTCTACTAGGAGAACACACTTTAAAGCATGTCTCACTTTTTCAGGGATGATTTCTTACTTTGAACTATTATAGGTATCTTGCTATCCAAACAACATGTGCAAAGGCAAGCCATAGGCTTCACCCAGTTCACCCAGTGTCTTCACTTGTATTATTGTGAACATTTTAAAATGAGTCTAGGGTACCCCCAAATAATTTTTAATTCAATAATGATTGTGGTACAACAGAATAAGGATACTAGTGATAATACACTCACAGAAAAAAAGCACTTTTTGCATAACCCTCTCTAAGCTGAGTGATATGTTGCTGTTAGAGTGAAACATATGAGGTTCATTTCAGATTGTAACTTTCTTGTGCTAAAGATTTTTCCAATCATCTTTTTTGGCAAGAGCTGATGGGCAATATATACTGCCTGAATTAGTGCTACTAATTGTACTTACTCTGCAAAAAATATATATATTCAACTCCTAGTGAAGGTCTGCTGGATGAAATAAAGGGGCATTTTTCAGTTCTACATTTGTTCTTATATAAGCTATTGGTTTTATTTTCCCACAACTAACCATCAGGTGTTCATATCTATAGTGTTCTGCCAGAACTCCTCCTCTCCACAGCTTTGTAATAGCTAGCTTACTACCTCTACCAAAAACAAAGGTAAAAATGGCAAATGGAAACAAACTTTTTTTCCTGGACCTATACTAAACACCAAGAGGATATTTTCATGGAAGTATCATAATATCATTATCTTGTGCCTGTATAACAATGAGCTCTTATTATGAACCACTCTCATATGAACCACTTAGCATTTATCCACACTGAATTTAGCCTGCATTTTATTTTCCTCTCATTCAGTCTCACGGGGTCCTTCTGCCTTTTTTTTTTCATAGTTGGTTTTCATCTTGGATCAACATATTAAGTATCTTGCCATTACAAACTCATCACCACACTGCTCACCTCCTTTTCCAAGATATTAACACATAAAGAACAGACTCCTGAAGAACTTTATTGGTAAACGCACAGATTGTGAGAATTGGGCACTTATTCTTGCCCCTTTATTTTAGCTAATGACTTTTCCATGCCACAAGCATCCCAATACAATCATGTTTTCTAGTTTCCATAATGTCTTCTAGTGAAAGTATCTGACTAAAACCTTCTCAAAATTTGTATTTACCTACAGACACTGTAGGTAAACCTGCCTAAATTTTGTCATATGGCTCAGGGGTAAACTTTTGAATTCAAGTTCACCTATCATCCTCACTTACTATGCTTTCAGTTGCATTGAAGAACAGTCAAGCATTCCTCTAAAATTAAACTAAGCACTAATGGGTGTTCAGTCCATCCAGCCAGAAAGTAACTATTCCAAATGTCTTCTGCTTCAGTCATGCCAAGCATAACATGGGTGTCTGGTCTTCTGAATGGTTTTGCTTTCAAGATCACTCCTGTTGTATGGCATTCTTGCTAATGTAAGATGTTGCTGTATTACTTTGTTAACTCTTACATGTTTGTCCAGTCTGTCCACCTCCACAAGTCCTTTAGGTATCTCCCTTTGCAGAAGCCCTCCTGAATTCCCCCTAGTGCATTATACTTAGACAATTTAGACATAGATTCATTAACTCTATTTTATTATAGTCTCTGCTTGATTTGCCTGGTAAAATCCTCAAGCTTACATGCCTATAATTCCCTGGAAACCTCAGGGATTGCTCTAGCAACAAGATTATCACTAATAATCTAAAAGTAAAATAAATGTTTAAATACTTGCTGGGGAAAATATTAATTTAGAGATTCCTTTGTGTATGATTAGAATGATTAGAATCCTCAGACAGCTTTTTTTTTTTTTTTTTTTTTTTAAGACAAACATCTTTTCAAGGAAAGGAAATGATAAAGATGTTTATGTGTTGGCCTCAGATAAGATGGTAATGGATACAGTTGCCAATCAAACCAACAGAAAGTGTTCTTGTACCTTAAGCATATTTTCCTTTGTAACTCTCCCTTTCCCTCCTCCCTGCCCCCCAAAAAAAGTTTTTTTTGAATTTGTTTTTAAATTAAGTATGCTTATGACTGAATTGATACAAACATGCACTACAGACATGAACAGAGTCATGTAGGTTTCTTCTACATCAACATTCAGGAAGGGAACAATTCACCTCTGTTCTTCTGCTACCACGCTACATACTGAGCTTGTATTTTCTGGCAGAAGGATGAAATACAATTGCATCACCTCTCATTGCCACAAAGCTGCAGCCTAAAGACATGTGGTACCTATTAAACACAGTCAAAACTATTGAGAAAGTCAGAAGCAAACACATCTGACCAGTATAACATTTAACAATTATCAATACCTAAGGAAAAAAGACCTAATGGCTTTATTTAACAACGGTTCTGAAAAAAAAAAAAACTGGTTCAGTGGACAGAATGCCTTCTTCAATCAATGCTTCCTTACTTGTAAAGACAAGGTATTTGTTGTTTCTAAAGTGTTTCTATCAGATCTATGCCAGTCATGATCATCCCTGGTTTGGGTATCTGACTAAGCCTGGTTTGGATGAAGAGCTGGCTGCATACATGAGCCACCAATGCAGCTGTGGTGGTTCTTGGCTGCAATGAAAGCATCTACTTGCTTCTATGTTTCTTAACTGGGATCTTCTGTGTGCAACAACTGTTATTGTAGGCCTTTTATTCCTCTTAAGTTTTCAGTGGAGGCTCTTGCTGTCTAATTTTACATGTGTTTTGTGTTAGTCATTTGCAATTACCTAGGTTACCCCCATCTCCTCATTACTCCTCATTACATTATCATAATTGAGAGTTGACTAATTGAAACCATAGGTGCAGTTTTAGAGCAAGACATACTTTTTTTTTCCTGCAATAATACACAACTCTCCCTTCCTTATGAGGAAACCATTGTAAATTCACAGCCAGTGCTCTTCAGTAGACATCTTTTAAATATTGAACACACGCCACAATTCAGAGGTAGACTCAATGGCCTGGTATGTACAGGAATTATGATTTTCATCCCCTTCAGCTCCATGTCACCCAAAATATTGGGATTCACAAACAGACTAGACACAATACCACATCAGGAACGCATAATGCAGGCGGTACAATGGAGTAGGTGCATCTACCTTTGCACCTCATGTAATTTTTCGCTCTGCCAGGGGATGGGTAAGAGCATTTCAACATATGCCACAGTAGTGCTAATTGCTGCTCTAATGCATGGTAGTTACCTTTTTTTCAATAGCTGTTCTACAGCACAGAAAACAGAGTTGAAAGTGCTCCATCCTTTCAGGCACAGATGCTCCCAACCCTCCCCCAGCAGACTTAAAGGCTGTGGTTTGGGAAGGCCATGGGAGAACCTGGCTTAAGGGGTTTGTTCCACTGCCTTTGAAGCCGAAGAGCTACTGCACAATGTCCCACTACAAACCTGCCCTAGCACAATGTGCATAAATAAAGGCAATTACAATTGTATAAATATTTTTAATGTGAAGTTTTCATCTCATTATGCCAAATAGAAAACAGAAAAAAATAGGCATATTTCTTTAAGATCTTTCAAATTTAATACTTCTGTGTATATGCCACATTACTTGCCTGCTACAAAACCATCTACCCACACTTCGATATAAAGATATATTTTAAAAATAAGTAGCACATTAGTGACTTGCAAATCCAAAAATAGTAACCTACCAGCATAATGGTATTAGGAGAGGGGTCAATAAATACACCTCAGATATATCCTTTTTTTCTGTATTAAAAATGTAAATGAGACATAGACAGAGATAGGCCATGGTTACTTGCACACTTTTACCATCAGCAGTGTTAGGGCAAGTAATTTACAACCTTCACCTCCCCAAGTTGCTCATTAATAACCCTATACTACTGCCTATTTTAAAGGATGACTGCTTATGAGATAGCAAGGAGATAGGGTAAAAATAATACAGATTATTTTTTTCTTTTCTTCAGTTCCTTGCTTCAACTCTGAGTGCAGCCCAACAGACCATACAGCTAGACCAAGTGAGCGCATAGGTAAGGACAGGAGAAGATGCTCAGGTACACTGCCCTCACAAGAAATGCACACATGTCCTTGACTGAAATTTTGGCAGACACAAAGATTTAAAAATGCTGCTGTCATTTGTTTTTAAGACTAAATTGTCTGTCACGGAAATATAGTAAACACTTCTCTAAAAGAGTGAACTTGCATATAGTTACATAACCACACAGCAATTCTTTTTTCCAAATGACAAAATTAGTTGGGGCAAAATCTGTAGCTTATGGCCTGCACTTGTACAAGAGGTAGTGCAAGCATTCTTGTGGAACAAATCCCTGGTGACAGCTGGTGACAGACACAGGGGAAGGAAGCAGGTAGACACAGCACTGCTGTCTCTCCTCCTGGCTTGTCTTTGTGACGCCTGCCCACTCCCCACTGCCCGTGGCCTCACAGGCCCAGCAGGCCTCAGGACAAGCCCAGCTGCCCCGGCTGGCACCCAGGGGCCTTGTATTCCCTGAAAACCAGTGAGATTCCTAATTATGTTTCCCTTTGTGCCATTTCTTAACAGGGTTTCTTTCGAGTGTGAAGTCACTCTCATGGATTCATGCAACCTTGAGCATTTATGAATTACTTGACCTGCGCATCTCCATTTTTTTCAGCTAGGCGAAGTCTACTTGTTTCAGCCGCCCCACGCATTTCTGCCTTTGGTGTGTCCCTCCCTGCTGGCTGGAGCAGGTCAGGCTTCCAGCCTCCTGAGGGGTGAAATCGCATCCTGCTCCTCACAACCCATTCGCCACATGTGAGATAAAAAACACTATTATATTAACACACACAAGATGAGTGAATACAGCCCATCTCTAGCTCTGAAGTGACAGCAAACGAATATGGAGATGAATGCTCATTTGGGGAGATAAGCAAGCACAGGCACTGGAATTGGAGTGAGGAAGTGCACTGTGAGATTTCTTTCACAGTCAGAGATTTGTGTGCGTAGTTTGTACAGGTACACACCTGGGATATAGTCAAAGGCTTAAGTTGGCAGTAACTTTTATGGACTGCAGTTTATCTTCAAAATGTCTGTTTATAATGTACATACTAAGAAAACCTTAAACACTGTAGCAGGGAGTGCTACCAATAAGGAGTAAGTAAGGTATAAAACATTACACTTCTCAACTCATCTACAGCATCTGAGTGCTATTACGTGATGTATTTTGGAGCATCCTTAAGATGAGGGAGATGAGATTAACTGCACTCACAGGTGCGACTGAAGCTATATAGAAAACAGCAGCTCTAGCCAGACTTCTAAAACTGTTTTTTAAATCTGAAATTAGCACTCTCACACGTACTTGTGAAATACTTGCCCACTATATTATCATTTCCCAACTACTTCTTCCAGTTCCCCCAGGTAATGGCAGCTTTCCAGATAAATTAACTTATAATATGTTATGGGAACGTTGTTATTTCAGGTCAACATTTTCAATATGAACTCATTGTCTCCATGAAGCAAAGAAATATTATAATCCATTAATATCTCTTTCAACAAAAAGGATGAAATCTTCCCCTGGTTAGGCTGATAAACACTTTGGTGTCAAAACTAAGCCTCTTTATCATGATAACCCAGAGTAATGGTCTGCTGCTCCAGGCACTTTATCTACTTTACAGATGAAAAATCAGTTCTACTTTCATGGAATTAGATTAATGCCATAACAGGAAATACTTCTGGGGCTGAACTTGCTTCATGCCTTCAAAGCTGGCTGTAAATTTAAAATACTTCCTGAACTCAAAAGATAAGACAGGAGAGAAGGAAAAAGAAAAACAGTGGAGTGACCCTCTTTCTGAAGAAAAATATTGCTTCCTGAAAAAGCTGTCGAAAGCTACTTGCTAAGGGCATTGTGCTCCAGAAGGCCCAGGGCAAGTCTAGTTTAGTCGAACATGGGGATTCTGGGTATATATCAGACACTTGCCATAAATCTGTTTCTTCCATAATCCCCTCTGATAAACTTTTCTTTTCTCAGTCATCTTACTTGGCAAAAGCCGAAGTAATAACTTTCTCAGCTTTTAGCAAATACAAAACAGCTTGCTATTTTATGTACAATATTTTTCAAGGATTACAGTTTTGTAAACTTTGAAAAATGCTGACCCCAGGCCTTAAAATTGAATTTCAACTCTGAAAGTGGACAACAAGCAGCAAATTCAATAATGCCTTATATATAAATAGCTTTACAATAAAAGATGTAAGGCATTCTTGAGTGTAATTTCACATTTATAGTAACAGAACCTTATTGAAGTACAATACAAAATATTACTACAAAGGCAGACTTTGGGGAATTCTGTGTTAAGTTTGCCAGGACAGAGAAACTGAAGTAACCTTTCCCATCAACCAATGTTAAGGAGGTTTTTTTTTTGTTTGTTTTTGTTTTTGTTTTTTAACTTGTTAGAATTTAAATACATGCAACGTCACACCGCAAAAAAAAAAAAAAGGATTGAATATGTTAGTAAATTGTACAAGTAGTGAATAACAATAACATTTAAATAATCAGAGTCTTGAACGAGAGAATCTGAGGAAGATAATACACGTGATTTCCTTGCATTAGACACTGAAGAATGACTCTGAATAGACTGCCACTTGCGTCTATATGGGCCAACAGTTTTATGACTTGTAGAATCCTTTTTCCATTTTATTTTTGTTGTACTCCCAGTACATTCCTGCTGTTGGAGGAGAAAAAGCACTTACATCTTGCATCCCCGTTCAGACTTCAACTCTAATATTACTAGCCTAAAAACACATGGGTTTAAGGGTTCATTCCTGCGCCCAGGCACTCTTCCCTTGACCATGAAGCAAAATTGTTATTTTAAAACAGTAAACAGGAAAGGAAGCTTATTGACCAGAACAAATATAAAACCAGCACAAAGGAACGGTCATCTATCTGCTTGTAAGGGTTCTTGTACAGACTTCCATGCTACTTATCATGAGCTGCATGGTATTTCTGAATGTGAACATTACTTCTAGGTTTAAAGAGCCCATCCACAAATTGCCATCAGCTTTCAAAGATCTCGTCAGATCCACAAGAGTTATAGCCTGCAGCTCTATACTCTACTGACCTCTAAGCATCAATTTCATCAGTAAGAATAACCACAGACGTTTGCTAAAGATGAGCAAGAGATGAGAGAATGCTGTGCAAAGGCTGTGCAAGTAATGCAACCAACTGAATTTTATTACAGTATGGTGTAAAGCATGCAATTACACTTTTTTTTTTTTGTGTGCATGTGTGTGAGATCAGGTAGAAGCTAAAGCAATTGTTTAATTGTTCAGGGAGACTGGAACAAACCAAACGCTTTTCTCAGCTTATAGATTTTTAATTGAGATTTTCACAAATTGTAATTTGATGTATTATTCTACTAGATCTTTCTGTAGAACAAGACTGCATGCTGAATTAAACCAGCATCACAGCAATATCTACCATTTAGACACCAACTCCACCTTTGACCTTATGGTATGCATAGAGTCCAGCAAATATGAAGACTCCGGGGAAAAAAATAAAAAATTTTAAAGCATGGCATAGTTTTCATTAAAGTCCTTTCACTATTACTTGTACCTTAAGTGCCAGTTATTTCTCCTATGTATAAAATCCATTTGTAATGGACAGTACTCCGAGATTTTTTGGTAAGACTGCAACTGCACTTTACCCATGCTCTTTTTGCTTACAAGTCTTCAGGATTAAGTGTATTTTCCTGAAGAACTTATGCTACGGAAGAAACATACTGCAGAATTCAGGGACAAACAAGCTTAGCACCAGCGAAATGCAATATTCCAAACTATCCTCACTCAAATAAAATAGTACTTAATTTTTTTTTTAATATTCAGGTACTACAATTGTCCTGTGCCCTAACTGTCTCATGAGGAATTGAAGGTGCATAGGACATCAGTTATCACTTTATCCTTCTAGTATAAAGCGGTCTTACTAAATAACATACTAGTGGCATTTAACTCCTTCAACAGCTATACTGATTGATGTAGATGGCTGGGGAAGACAGGTCTAGAGCACTAATGCTGTATGCATTTTTCCTACCGACACTTTACCTATAAGACACATGGAAACCACAGGAACCAAAGAAATAGAAACATTTTTTACAATTATGTATTATTTAATAGTACGAAGAACATCTGTCTCACTATGGAGTTAAATTTAAACAAAATGTTTTCTTCCATGAAATGGAAAATATATGAAAAAGCTAGTCATTATTTAAAAAAACATAAATCCTACATATTGTAACAAAAAACATCAAAAAGGAAAGCAATGGTTAAAAATACAAACTAATTTGTAAATCAAATAAACTTTTTGAATAATGCTTAAGAATACTAAGGAAGATCCCTGTCACAAAACTCTTAACCTTCACCAAATCTTTTCTCGGTTGTCATCCCTGTATCCCCCCATCCCCCCTCGCCAAGATTTTCTGATATTTCACTTTCAGCAACCGTCAAACTATGATTTACTTTCACTATTTCCATTAATCTACTCATTAATTAATCTGCTCCACTAATCTACTCACGAAGTGCTGATCTGCAGCACACTTCAGTGCCTATCTGTAGCCTTCAACTTTATTACCAAACAGAAGAAATACAAAAAGCACAGAACAGCATCTTGTCAAACTTTTAAAGCAGATACCTTGGTTGTTCCACAGGTTCCCAATTTTTCCACAGAGCTCAAGTAGGAAACAATTGCTAGCTAATAAGGATATTTATGAGTACATAAAGCAAGGAATTGTTACTGAACAAAAAGGAATACTGTCAATCAAGTTAAACAGTAAACTGCAAATAAGGTGAAGAAAGGTATTAATTCATGTGACTGAAGATTAAAAGTAATTACAGCATATTTCAAAATACTTCAGAGTTTAGTCAAACTGATAACACAGCAAATAGCATATAGCATCTATTATCAAGTCATGCAGATCTTCCACCAGGAGTTAAAGAGTGTGTGATACAAGTTAGCTTTTCTCTTGAATATGACATTAAAACCACGTGGTTTTGTCTCCTTAGAAGCAGGATTATTAACTGTCACAACAAGAGTCTATTAGTTTTAGAACTAGAGCAATAATCACTCTCTCTGGACTCTATAAAAAGCTATACTCCACTTTCTCCATACCTGGGCTTAATTTATTTTTTTTTCTTCTTTTCATTTAGGAATACTTGACTGAGTTTCAACTGCTGATACTGTTTTGACTTTCCAAGTATTTCTTCTTAACATTTTACTTATTAAGAAATGCCTCCTATTTTTTTTTTCTAAATCAATTTTTAATAGTATTATTGAAAATTACCTATTCAAGCCAAGATTTAATTCATGAAAAAAGCACAAAGTTTATATCTAACTGCGTGAGAACATCCTTTATCAAGGGACTCAGACACGTGCCTATGCTTGCACACATTCAGTAACACCAGCAATTTCTTGCATATAACTTTACAACATTTACAACATCTTTGCTCTCTTTTATGAGACTTAAGATGGTTACTTTATAATTTCCAACATAATTATTGGGCAAAAGAACTCTTAACTAGAGGCACTTAATGTTAAGCTAATAGAGTGGTATGTGAGCTATATCTCAAGAAGGCGCAATGTGGGACTTCCAGATATAATGAAAATAAGCTGGCCAGAATATTACATAATGGCTTTAGCTTTTTCAATCCATTCTAATTTTTCAACCTTTCAGCAGCCGTCTCACAACAAACAGTTCTTTAACATGCACTTTTTTTTTTTTTTTGAGGGAAGGATTTGTTTTGTGTTTTGTTTGATTAAAGCAATGCTAAAACAGAAATGTTATGTTTCGTTCTACAAATAAATGTTAGCTCCCATGTTGGGCTGCTGATGCTGACAAACAGGGTTCCTACAATAGGCTGTCCTAGTGCTTTGAGACACTGGTATGGAATGCCAGCACTCCAGAAATGTCAAATTTCCACTGAATTCCCCATGAAGTTACAAATAACATTGCACCCCATCTCAACTTTCACAACACTTTCTTGCATTCCCAGATATGTACTAGTTTTCCTTTTCATTCCCCAGCACAGACATTGATCTTGCTGTAGGCTGAAGACCACACATGAAAATACTGAGACAAAATAAGCCACACAGATGCACACAAATTTGGATATCCTGAATGAAAACGTGAATGACAGACACTGTAAAGCTAAAAAGCACACTTTGAGAATCCATTCATTAGTTTT